AATTTATTTCTTCCTCTCTGCAGTACTGGAGATGAACTCAGGACCTCGTGCTTGCCAGGGAGGTGTGTAAGCCAATGAGCTATTTCTCCAGCCCCATATCGTGATACTATTATAGATAGCTGAGTTAGGTAGAAATATTATAGGCAGTTGGATAGGACTAGGGCCTTGAGTGAGTCAATGCAAAGGTGAAAAATTTATCACAACTGTGGCATCTGTTGGAGGCCAGGTCACAAGATAAAGGCAAAATGACCATGCCTAAGATAGGTGGTAACACTTGGTCTAAGAAACTCTCAACCTCAGTGGTTGACCAAGCCCCTCAGACTCACTCCTTCTTGAAATATTTTTTTGTTCTTTTCATGTACACTTGCTCCATGACCCTTGTCTTAGTTACTCTTCTGTCATTGGTGGGATAAAATTCCTAACACTCAAAATGAAGAAAGGAAAGGTTTATTTAGCTCACAGTTAGTAGAGGGTTCAGTCTATACTCAGCTGGCCCCAAGGCAGAGTGGCACAGAGCAGAGAACAGCCATTCATGGTAGCTGCAAAGAGCAAGAGAGCAAAGAGAGTGGCAGCAGCTCAGGCAGCTAGCTAGGTCTTTCCCCTCCTTACATTGTAATGCAGATTTCCCACCCCAGGGCAAGGGTGTAGCCCTCACACCTGCAATCCTAGCATTGGTTCAGGAATCCATCACAAACTCCTGAAGCCGCCTTAACTGCTTGAGGCTTTGCGGGTACACCTAAACACAAACCATAGAAACCCACTTCCCCATTGGATCAATATTACCTAAGCGACTAACCGTATAATCTTACATTGGTTGACCATAGTTCTGTTCCACCTCATGATTTTGTTCTATAAAGTTTCCCCAGAGAAGAGGGCTCTTGAGCAGGCTACTTGCTGGCCCCTTCTGTCTCTCTTAGAAGCTTTCTTTCCCTCAAAATATTTCCTGCTCTTAACCTCTGTTGTTCCTTAGAATTCATTCTTTGATATTGGGGAACATGGGGCCTGGGGAGATAGCTCAGTAGAATAAGCACTTGCCTGGCAAGTGCAGGGTCCTGAGTTCAATCCTGGTACGGCAAAATAAAAAGATATTGGGGAACATGAGCTCAGTGTATCAGACATCTATCTAGCAGGTTGGGAGGTATGTTTCCCTCATCACTTGGAGGTCCCATCATTCCTGTATTAGTAGAGTACATTTGTAGAGTGTACTCAACAAGCAGAGCAGTTGAATGTGCATGCATGTGTGCTCATGTGTGTGCATGTGTGTGCGTGTTGTGTTCT